AGTATTTTTTTTAAGAAAAAGTATTATTTTTTAATATTGCCATATTTATCCTTATGCAAAAATATTATTTATCAGTATTAAAAGCATATTTATATTTAAAGGATTAGTTATTCACTTTTGTTGTTCAATGAATTGTGGAGCTTCAAAAATTATAAACCTTTTCCTATTATATTATATTATTTTCTTTTAATAAGTTATAGTAAATTGTATAAAAAATATCAAATATTTAATGATACATGAAATAGAATTTTTACCTATAGAACTTTTACCTTTTACCAAAGTTCTAGGTTTTGGACACTTTAAGACATTTTAACCCAGTTTAGGACAGTTTAACCCAGTTTAGGACAGTTTTACCCAGTTTAGGACAGTTTTACCCAGTTTAAGACAGTAAAACCCACATGTCCTGTCCAAAACCAGTTTAGGACGTCCAAAACCCCAACCCTGATAATATATATAAGTAAAAGTATAAATAAATAAAAATTACATAGTATAACTGTATATAATTATAAGGGAAGAGGAATGCTTTATTTACATGCTACTGTGGCGTAACTACCACTATGATTATTAAACATCAATTGACCGGTATATAAGACATGCTAACTCGATTCAATCATGAGGTACCTTTTGATAAATGACGGTTGGCATGGTCGATAACTTCATCCCCACATTGGTAACCTCCGGACGTGATTTGAACACGCAGTAACGCCTACTTCGATGGATGATCCACATTGAACAGCTGACTTGCTACTTGTGATAGCGGCATCATCCACCCCCTCACTCTGTTGCTCAGTCTCGTCTCGAACATACACACAACGTCGGCCAGCATACACTCGACTGCTAAAGGCAATACAGGAGCGACCACGTCTATGAAGTTAATACACCTCTCACATTCAGCACTCAAAAACCCAGTGATATTAATTCCAGCTCTCCCGGTCTTTCACAAATACAGCAACCAAATGGAAACCGTTCATCGAGTTCTATCTCTGATAAAATTCTGGTGGGGGAGTATTGTGGCGTAATTACCACTACAATTATTAAACATCAATTCACTGGTACATAAGACATGCTAACTTGATTCAATCATTAGGTACGTTTTGATAGATGACGGTTGACATGGTCGATAACTCCGCCCCCACACTACTTCAAAAGAATTTTGCTTTTTACACATTAAAAATAGTGAGTTAGCTTAAAATAATATTTTTTTTCTACTATTAAACAATGAGTGTACATTTATTTCTTTTAATTCCTAATATTAATATCAGGACTCAAAATTAACAGTGGTTTATTGCTCTGAGACCACTAAAATTTGGCTCAAACCACTATAAAATAATTACCAACTGTTACGGGACCAGCAGTGGATGTAAGTAGGTGATAAGCTGGTTTTTTTCTTTCCTTTTTTTTAAATTTTTAGTTTGGTGTTTTACTTTTTCTTTTTTTTTAAATCACAAAATAGTATATTTTATCGTGGTTCTGAACACTTTTCATTTTTTATTTGAATTCACTTTTTTAACTATTTTAAAAAAAAAAAGAAATCTAACAGAGACATGTAAATGGTCAAGTGAAAAGACTAGTGTTATCTTTTAGTCACTGGTACTAAATTTTCTAATTAAAAATTCTAAGGAGTTATAAGAAAATATTATTAGCTTTTAATATTTTCAAATGATCACAATTTATTCAATGATATGTTTTTCATTATACAATTATACAGTGATTATATACGTTATAATATACAGTGGAGCATCGTTTATACGCCGCCGAAGGGACCACCGAAAAACGTCGTATAAACGATAGCGTTTTAGTTAGCTGGCTG